GGTAACAGAGTGAGACTCTGACTCAAAAAAGAGGCATAAACGTGTAATAGATAAGGCAGCAGAGTATGCTGTGGAGTTGAACTGGAATGGTAGGTATCAGTATTCAAGATTTCTTAAATGAAAAATAATACACAGTAAGCCCTGTGTATCCATGGGTTCTGCCCCCATGGGTTCAACCAATCACTGATGGAACATATTTTGGGGGAAAAACAGATGGTTGCATCTGTACTGAACATGTGCAGACTTTTTGTTCTTTTCATTATTTCTAAAAATACATTATAACAACTATTTACACAGAATTTACACTGTATTCAGTATTATAAGTAATCTAGAAGGGATTTAAAATATAAGGGAGAAGGGCAGATGTGCATAGGTTATATGTAAACACCATGCCATTTTATATCTGGATGTGGGCGTCTGCAGATTTTGTTGTCCTCCGGGGTCTGGAACCAATCTCTTGTGGTTATTGACTGATGACTGTATATCTTCTTTCTCCTCCAGCTCTGTTTACTGAGAAGGCCCAGAAGCAATGCTATCCCAGTATCAGTAATACCCTTAGTGCCAGTCTTAGCTTCTAAACCATTCTCCAATAACAAAAGAAACTAGAGCAGTAGGAGTAATGATAATTCCAGAGCAGGGGTAATGAATACATAAGAGGAGCCTGGAAAATCTTTGTTTCTAAAGTGTTTTAAAAGTATTTATTTATTTATTTAAATTGGAATCTCACTCTGCCGCCCAGGCTGGAGTGCAGTGGCTCGCTCCAGCGATCCTTCTGCCTCAGCCTTCCAAGTAGCCAGAATTACAGGCGCCTGCTAGGACGCCTGGCTAGTTTTATTTATTTATTGTAGAGATGAGGTCTCACCATGTTGCCCAGGCTGGTCTCAACCCCGTGGGTTCAGGTAATCCTCTTGCCTTGGCCTCCCAAAGTGCTGGGATTACAGGCTTGAGCCACCATGCCTGGCCTTAAAGTTATTTTTTAATTGACAAAAATTGTATGTATTTATGACATAGTGTAACCAACATGATGTTTTGATATGGGTATATATTGTGGAATGGCTAAATCAAGTAAAATGCATTAACATATGCATTACCTCACATACTTTTTTTGTGGTGAGAATACCTAAAATCTACTTTCTTAGCAATTTTCAAGTCTATAATATATTGTTATTAACTATAGTCACCATGATGTACAGTAGGTCTCTTGTACTTATTACTCTTGTCTAACTGAAATTTTATGTCCTTTGACCAATGTCTCCCCAGTAACCACCCCTCACATCCCACCCTCTGGTAACTATCATTATATTCTCTACTTTTATGAGTGCAACTTTAAAAAATTCTACATGTAAGGGAGATCATGCTGTATTTGTCTTTCTGTACCTAGCTTATTTCTTTTTTTACGCATAATTTTTTTATTTTAAAGCTGTGGGGTACAATTCAGAGTTAAGTATACAAATGTTCGTTATGCAGGTACCCTTGTTGATGAGGGGTCAATTTCACTTAATGTCTTCAGGTTCATCCATGTTATTGCAGATGACAGGATCTTCTTATTTTTGAAGGTTGACTAGTAATGCATTATGTATATATACCATATATACCACATTTTCTTTATTCATTCATCCATTGAATAAATAATACTGCAAGGAACATGGGAATTCGGATATCTCTTTAAAATATTGATCCTATAGTCTTTGAATATATACCCAATAGTGGGATTGCTAGATCATATGGTTGATCTATTTTTAAATTTTTGAGAAAATTCCATACTGTTTTCCATAATGACTATGCTAACTTACATTCCCAGGCTGGGCGCGATAGCTGATGCCTGTAATCTCAGCACTTGGGGAGGCTGAGGCAAGAGGATTGTCTAAGCCAAAAGGTTTGAGACCAGCTTGGGAAACTTGAGAAGACCTCATCTTTACAAAAAAAAAAAAAAAATTAGCTGAGTGTGGTAGTGTGCTCCCGTAGTTCCAGCAATTTGGAAGGCTGAGGATGAAGGTTCACCTGAGTCCAACAGGCCAAGGCTGCAGTGGCCGTGATCGTGCCACTGCACTCCAGCCCTCTAGCCTGGGCTTCAGAGTGAGATTCCAACTTAAAAAAAAAAAAAAAATTACATTCCCACTAATAGTGTACAAGAGTTTTGTTTTCTCCACATCCTCACCAACACTTGTTATCTTTTGTCTTTTTGATAAAAAGCATGACAACAGGTGGAAGGTTTGCATTTCTCTGACAATTTGTAATGTTGAGCATTTTTTCATATAACTGTTGGCCAGTTGTATGTCTTCTAGGAAATGCCTATTCATATAAACAAAATCTTTGTCCATTTTTAATTGGGCTATTGTTTTCTTACTCTTGCATTGTTTGAGTTCCTTATATATTTTGCATATTAACATACCATGGTTTGCAAACATTTTCTTTTATTCCATAGGGTTTTTTTTTCTACTTTGTTGTTTCTCTTTCTGTGCAGAAGCTTTTCAGTTTAATGTAATTTCATTTTTCTATTTTCGCTTTTGTAGCCTGTACTTTTGGAGTCATAGCTCCTGCCCCCCCCAAAAAATAATTGTTCACACCAGTATCAAGGAGTTTCCCTCCATGTTTTCTTCTTCTAGTAGTTTTACCATTTTGGGCCATATGTTTAAGTCTTAAGTCCATTTTGGGTTGATTTTTTAATATGGTATAATATGGGGTTCTAATTTCATTCTTCTGCATGTGAATACCTAGTTTTCCCAACACTATTTATTTATTTTTGAGTAGGAGTCTCTGTCACCCAGACTGGAGGTCAGTGGCACGCTCCTGGCCACCACAGCCTCCACCTGCTGGGTTCAGGTGATCCTTCTGCCTCAGCCCTCCAAGTAGCTGGAACTACAGGTGCACGCTACCACACCTGGTTAATTTTTTGATTTATTGTGGAAATGAGGTTTCACCAAGTTGCCCAGGCTGGTCTTGAACTTGTAGGCCCAGGCAATCCTCTCACCTTGGTCTCCCAAAGTGTTGGGATTATAGGTGTGAGCCACCCAACACTATTTATGGAAGAAATTGTCCTTTTCCCATTGTTCTTGGCATTTTTTTACTAAAACCAATTGCCCATAAATGTGTGGGTTTTTCTCTGGGTTCTCTATCCTTTTTCATTGCTCTATGTGCCCTGCTTTTATACCAGTACCACGTTGTTTTTATCAGTATAGCTTTATATTAGATTTTGAAATCAGTTAGTATAATGCTTCTGGCTTTGTTATTTTTGCTCAAGATTGTTTTGACTATTTGGGTTCTTTTGTGATTCCATGTGAAAATTTAGATTGCCTTTGTTATTTCTGTGAAAATATCACTGGAATTCTGATAGGTATTGCACTGCATCTGTAGATTGCTTTGGGTAGTATGGATTTTAACAATACTAATTCTTCCAATACATGAACATGAGAATCCTCTCCATTTATTTGTGTCATCTTCAATGTCTTTTATAAATTTTTATTGTTTTTAGTGTACAGAACTTTCATCTCCTTAGTTAAATTTATTACTAAGTATTTTTTCTAGCTATTGTAAATGAGATTATTTTCTTAATTTCTTTTTCGAATAGTTGTTAGTGTGTAGAAATGCTATTGATTTTTATATATTGATTTTTGTATCTTGAAACTTTGTTAGTTTATGGTGCCACTTTGACATACTGAATATTTTAAGCTGAAGGAATTTGAAAAATGGAAAGTACACAGGAGGGTTCTTTGACCTTCCCCTGAGGCAGGTCATAAGACTCTCATGTGAGAGGTGCCCTTCCTATACTTGGAGGAAAGGAATATCCTTATCTCTGAAAATGGAAGGACGTCAAGAAAAATCTAAACAAACAGGCCTTGCTATGTTTCTACCAATTTACAACACTTAGCTATGCATAACCCTTTTGTCCTATCACATTTTTCAATGACTCCCTTCTTTATCAAACCTTGCATTACACGCTCAGGCTTAACTATTTGGGGGAGGGTCTTCATATCCTTATGAAGGCTTCCATGTCATGTATAACTATGTATACTTTTTTTTTAGTTACAGCTGAGAACCTAGGAGGATAGAAGCAAAATATTTTTTGCTCCCCTATAATACTCCACCCTTAAGAAGAGGGAGCATAACTCCCTGCCTTAATCTCTTTGTGCTACTATAACAAAACACCACAAACTGGGTAATTTGGAAAGTATAGAAATGTTACTTCCCAAAGTTTTGGAGGCTGGGAAGTTCAAGAGCAAGACGCTGGCATTGCTGTCTGGCAAAGATGGCTATTTGCCTTCAGCATGGTGCCTTGTTTCTGGGTCCTCACATTGCTGAAGGAGGAAGAACAGGAGGACTGGATGCTTTGTGAGGCCTCTTCTACAAAGGCCTAATCCCATTCACGTCCGGCTCTCCAAGCACTTTTCATATATTGACTCCTAATGGGAAAACAGAACAGCCCTATTACAGTCAATGATCTTGCTCTGCAGTTGCCCTGAAGCGGTTCTCTCTTGCCACAGAAAAGCATGAGCCTAAAACGTGGCCTGGAGGTCTTCCGTAGGAACGAAGACAATCCAAACTTACGCTCTCAAATGTAGAGCCCCCTTTGAAAGGTCAGCTGATCCTTTATCTTCTAAGAAAGCCGAAAAAGCATGCACCGAGAGCAGCTTGCACATCGATTTCGGGGCGCCAGGCTCTCCAAGCCTCGTTTCCTTCGGGGAGACAGCCAGAGGAGGTCGCTGCCTCTTTCACTCTAGGAATTGGTGTTTTTCAGTAACTTCCTTGCTCCGGATAGAGGAACTGTTTCCGGTGCACCTTTGTGGGCAAATGAGCGCGTACATCACGCAGTGGATTCTGGGAGACCGAGTCTCCACGCAGTGCGGCTTAAGGGGTCCCTGGGAACGCTGGACTTCATTTCCCACAATGCCCGGCGCACAGTTCTAACTTCCGACGGGTCACCGTGAGGCGGCCGCCATCTTGCGTTCGGAGGCGAGGCTTGTCGCCCTGCTCCCGAAGGCTGGGCGCGTTGTGGCCCCCAGATCTCGGCCCTGGGGTCGCATCTCGGCTTTTCGTTCGCGTTCACGGAGGTCTTTGCGTTTCTGAAAGAAGGTTTCGTTGGGAGGTTAAAGGTCAATGCCGAGCTGTAGAGTAAGGTGAGCGGACACCCCATCGTGGGTGAGGGTGGGGCGGCGGTGAGGTATTTCGGGTTCTTGGGTCTGCCCTGAGGGACTCGGGTTGTCGCCGGCTCGGCTGGACCCCGGAGACGAGTTGTGAAGGTGGAAGCCCGGAGTGAACCTTTTGAGCCTTAGAGGCCTACAGGTATCCCTCGAGCGGTCCCCAGCGTGTCTCCGTTGGGACAAAGACACTGAGTGACGCCCTCGTGCCCGGGCAGCCGTCTTTGGAGGTCAGGAATCCCGGGGCTCGGGTTGCTTGCAGGCCTCGCCCGGTCCCTGGAACCCTCGTGCTCGCCCTGGGGACTTTTCGGGCACGTTGGAACGCGGAAATGAGAGGTGGCCCAGGCGGGATTTCCAGGAGGGTGGCATCTTTACAGCTGGTGTCTCTTCCTTCCAGTCTCTCCGTGGCCAATCTGCATCGTCCTCAAGTTCGTCTTTTTGCCCTTGCCTTTTTCTGTCGTGGGTAAGACAGGCTTTTCGACCGAACTCCCCGAGGTCCTTACGACCTTTCAAGGGAAGTAAAGTTTATCTTCGAGACAGACCAACCGTTTGGAGAAGATGAACACTTTGATCTTTGAGAATTGGCGGATTTTTTTTTCCTAAACATATTTGCAGTATCATCATTGCAACTCAAGTTTTCTATTTTTTCCCCTCCTCAAATTAACGCACTTAATCAACCTTTGAGAATCTCTTTTACACTAGCTCCTCGCAAGAAAGGGGCTTGCAAAGACTAGTGTTTCTGTTCTTCCATTTGGATACTAAGGAGATTGGTTGTTTAAGGTTTGGGAACTGGAGCTATTTGCTCCCCAAAAGGTAGTGGTTTTAAATAGGAAGATGTTTAGGATACAGTGTACCGCAGCCAGTTTGGATGTAAGTATGAATTTGGTTGGCAGTTTTAGTCTCCTTCTAAATATACAATTTTATATTTGTATCATGAAAATATGTATTACTGATTCAACTTTCCTAGCTTAACAAATTTCAATTTAAAAATTATTAATTGTAAATATTTGTTAATATTGTATGACTTATTTACTTCTCAGATGTCTTATGGTGAAATTGAAGCAACATTCTTGGGACCTAGAGAAGTAACAAGTGAACCACACTGTAAAAAATTGAAGTCAACTGCAGAGTTTGATGTTTTTCCCCATCATGGTGTTACTGGTTTTCACAGAATCCAGGAGAAAGCTGGAAATGATTGGGTTCCTGTGACCATTGTTGATGTCAGAAGACATGGTTATTCTCAGGAGGAGAGAACCAAAATTAAGGATTTGCTGAGACCTTTGCACGATGAGATGCCTGGTAATAGACCAGGTACTATTGAATCTGTTGATTCACATGTTTTACCGGATGCAAGTCCTTCATTAGTATCCACAGATGATGGGATATATAGCACAAGTAAAGCATTTATAGGACCCATTTACAAGCCCCCTGAGAAAAAGAAATATAACGAAAAGAGGAGTGCGGCAGACACTCTCAATGGTATAAAAGGCAAAGGTGGGCAAGAGGAGAAACAGAAATCCAACTCTAAAAAAAAATCAGAGATTGACAATGAATTATTTCAGTTTTACAAAGAAATTGAAGAGCTTGAAAATGAAAAAGATGATTTGGAAAGCAGTTGTAAGGAATCCGAACCTTCTCAGGAACAATTTATTCCATATTATCAGAGCCATAATAATGATCTCTTAAAATCTGACGACGAAAAGAAAGATCTTAGTCATGCTTTTCAGTCACACTGTGGTTATGAACAGAACTTGGGGAATGAACTAGGCAACTATCCCTGTAATGGACGGGTAATACCTACATTTTGTGACATTTCATTTACTTCCTTCAGGCCTGAATGGCAGTCAGTGCATCCTTTTATGGTACCCCATGGTCCCCCTCTTCCCAGTTTGAACTATCATCTTAATATTCAAAGATTCAGTGCTCCACCAAATCCTCCATCAAATATTTTTCATGTCCAAGGTGACTCTCTGATGCGAAGTGGATATCATGTAAATAGTTGTCATGTTAACTGGAATTGTTTGACTTTTGATGAGAACAATGAATATACTGACTTTAGTGAGAATAGCAGTAGTGTTCATCCCTTTAGGAATGGCTTCAGCCTGCAAGATGAATATGTGAGTAATGGTTTCTGTGAAATCAGAGAAGGATGCTGGAAAGATTCTTCTTTGGACAAGCATAATGGAACAGACAGATTTGTGAACCAGCAGTTTCAAGAGGAAAAGTTAAATAAATTGCAGAAATTACTTATTCTTTTAAGAGGTCTGCCTGGTTCTGGGAAAACAACATTGTCTCGGTAAGTAACAAGTGAATACTTGGTATTTCATTACTTAAAAATCATAAGTGATAATTGCAAACAGTGCAAATACTTTCATGTTTCTAATAGAAGCAAATCTTTGTTGGTCTTGAGAGTGGCATCAGCTTGTGTAAATATTTAAAAAGATGTTTTCTGATAGAAGGAAGAATTGGTATATATGTTTATACTTAGATTCTGCAAAGGGCTTTGAAAATAGACCATGTGTAATTATGACAGTGATGAAAGCAAATGCTACTTGAGAACTGTGCTGGGCTTCCCTTTGGAGTCAGATATTCAAGAAAAGTTGGACTCAGTGTTAGAAAATGTGGGTTTTTGACTTAGTTATTTCACTTTGTGATTTTGGACAAGCTTTGCTATCTGTTAATGGAATGAATGACACTTAAATTTTCTGGAATTATTCTGAGAACCAAATGAGATAACCCAAGGAAAGGAATTTTGAATGTGTTGTCTTCATAGCAGATTGACAGAGGGAACCCTTTCTCAGTTTCTTAAAGTATAAGAAGTTTGAAGTGAGCAAAGTCTCATTTAATGGAGTTAGAGCTGATGATGTTTTGTTACAAAATATTTCATATTCCTGTTTTTGTTTACATTTTAAAATAGAATATTGATGCACTTGAATATGTGGTGATATTGTGAAAAATAGCATAAAGAAGTAATCCTATTTTTTTGCAGTTTGCATAAGATGATTCAAGATTTGTGTCAGACAAGTAGAAAACGAAAATTTATTTGATATCTTTGGGCAAGGATGGAAAAAAAATCCAAGGAACTGTTCTATACATGTTTAATGTTTACCTGCAAGACAGTCTAAAAGTTTCTTCAGAGAAAAGAAACTAAAGAAATATTTGGGTTATGATATAGATATTTCAAGCTAGATTATAAGCTGTGATTAAATTTTGGTTTTTGCATTTTGATTCCTTTTACTTTAGCAAAGATTTTGTAGAGAAGATGAAATTTCAATTCTTTGGGAAGAATGGAAGTTAAGATTGAGATTTTCTTACAAACATGTGCAGTCTTCTAGATTTACGATATAATATCAGAAAATAAAGAGTTGAAATTTGGAAATTGATTGAATAAAGAGGCCTGCTAGTTAGGACCACTTAACGTAGAGTTAGATTTAAGACAATATATTGGAGTATGTTGAAACTAAAGGTGAATAAAGTAGTGTTAATTCAATAGAATTCCAAGGAGACACAATTATAGTGGAAGATGATAGAGGTGATTATTATACTATGTATATTTATTTGAGGAATAGGTATTTTAGGATGGGAGTTATACATAGTACTTACAAGTATTATTTGTATTGTGATTTACAATTTACAGAGTACTTTCACATTAAAATCATGTGAGATGGGTTGTATTTTCATTTTATAGAAAGAGCAGAGGCTAGCCAGGCATGGTGGCTAACGCGTGTAATCCCAACACTTTGGGAGGCAGAGGCGAGAGGGTTGCCTGAGTCCAGGGGTTCGAAACCAGCCTGGGTAACTTGGCAAGACCTTGTCTCTGCAATAAAATCAAAAAGTTAGCTGTGTATGGTGGTGTGCGCCTGTAGTTTCAGCTACTTGGAAGGCTGAGGTGGAAGGATCCCCTGAGCCCAGCAGGTCGACGCTGTGGTGGCCGTGAGCATGCCACTGCACTCCAGCCTGGGCTACAGAGTGAGTCTCCGACTCAAAAACAAAACAAGCAAACAAAACCAAAAAAAAAAAAAAAAAAGGCTAAAGGAAGAACTTTAGGTTCAGTGACTTAGTGGTTACAGAAACTGGCAAGAGATCAAATTAGGGATAAAATGATAGTGTTTTCCCCTACACCTTCACTTTAATGTTTGTTGAATGTGTAGTCCTATACCTGACTCCTAACTTCAAGGAGCTTGCCTAAAGAGGTGGGAGTACCTCTTTTGGATCAGAATGCAGTGTTGTTGGTTATCTGGAATTAGATATTACATATTCTCTGGTGAGGAATGGCTTCATATAGGAATTGGTTTCAAAACAAGCTTTGAAAAAAGAATAGAGTAAAAATTGGTACACCAGAGTCAAGCTGATTTGTAGCACTAAATTAAAAGACAGCAGTTTTTAGTTTTGGTATGTGATAATAAGTATAGGCAGTTGGATAAAATTCACATTCTTTTGGGGGAGTATTCAAGCCTCCTTCTTCCTTAATTTAGTCCTTACTCACCACTCCATCTTTGTCATATTTTCCTGCACTTGGACTTGTTCCTGTACTGTACTGTAGGAGACATAATGGCTTGTTCATTACTTGTTCTCAGCACTCTGCGTACTCAAAGATTCTCTTAAATGCCTCCACTTTTTGAGACTTTGGTTTATCATCTTAGTCCTCATTCTAAATTTATGTAGTATTTGTTTTTACTCCTCTTTGTATTTGGTATAAGCTAAACAAGGCATCATTATCTTTTTATTCATTGATAATAGACATAAGCTAATTTGTAAGTGAATGAGGATTGGTTGTTCCCACGACTTTGCCAACAGGTTTCAACCAAAGTAAAACCTAGACTAAATTCTAACACAGCCGGGGCTCGGTGGCTCAGCCTGTAATCCCATGCCTTTGGGAGGCTGAGATGAGTGGATTGCCTGAGCCCGCGGGTTCGAGACCCACCTGGCAACTTGGCGAGACCTCATCTCTACAACAAATCAAAAATTAGCCGGGCGTGGTAGTGCGCGTCTGTAGTTCCAACTACTTGGAAGGCTGAGGCGGAAGGATCGCTGAAGCCCAGCAGGTCGGGGCTGCGGTGGCCGGGAGTGGCCACTGCACTCCAGTCTGAGCTATAGAGTGAGACTCCAACTCAAAAAAACAAAAAACAAAAAATTCTAACACAAGCACTGACTTGAAATATTTATGAATAAACCAGTACAAAATAGTTCACACAACCTTTGCATGTATGATAAAGTTCCAACTCTTTGTTTTTCAGGCATCCTGGTGACACTTTTGATGAAAGGTTTATTTGAGGCAGAATTCAGTAGTAGTATAGTGGTAGAATTTTGCTACCATTGTGGTTGGCATCAGCAAATAGAATCCTCTGACCCAGTGGTTGGACGTAGGACTTGGTGGTGTTCCCAGGAGAGTGGACTATAGATTTTAGTCGATTCTCATACCCTGTTCATGTAAGGGGGTTGAGGGAGTGGGCTTAAAATGTTTTAGTTAATCTGCATTTCTTGTTCTCTACTGATTTCACCAATGAGAATATATTTTCATAAACAAGCCATTAATTTTGTTATTCTGTTAGCAAAATGTCTGGAGTTGGTGAAAGGTAAGATAGTTGAAGTACTTGTAATAACTTCTTGTAGCCACTTTTGGAGAGTACCTTTTGTGCTACTGGGATATTTCTTGATCAGGGAGGGTAACTGAGCTTAGGATGTATAGCTTAAATCATCTTCATGATCTCACACTGTGCAAAGTATGCTAAGGTAAATTCCAGTCATCATGATATTGAATATATTTCGAATCTAACCATGTAGAATGTAAGCAGAGAACTAGGCTTGGCAATTTTGTAATTCCTAGCAGCTTGCCAATGTCCCTCTCTTAGTTATAAAAGCTATTAAAGCTGGGTGTGGTGGCTCACACCTGTAATCCCAGCACCTTGGGAGGCAGAGGTGCAGAGGGTTGCCTGAGTCCAGGGGTTCAAGACCAGTCTGGCAACTTGGCGCGACCTCGTCTCTACAATAAATCAAAAAATTAGCTGGGCATGGTGGCACACCCCTGTAGTTCCAGCTACCTGGAAGATTGAGGTGGAAGGATCACCTGAACTCTGCAGGTCGAGGCAGCGGTGGCCATGAGTGTGCCACTGCACTCCAGCCTGGGTGACAGGGTGAGACTCCAACTCAAAAAAAAAAAAAGTAGCTATAATAAGTTGCATGCCTGTAGTGCAGAGGCACTATCCTCACAACAGGTAGATCTTAATTTCTCTTTTTATAGATGAAGATACAGAATGTTTCAGTAAATGTTTCCCAGATCACATATCTTACAAGTACTAAAACTTTCCAAGTCCAGCCCCCCTGTTCTTTTCACAACCACTCTGTCTTCAACACAGTTAAGTACTCAAGATGTCTGCTGATGCTTCTGAGGCAGTAGGCTATAATAGCTTTGGCCATATATTTTGGCCCATATGGTGTTTATGAGTAGGACAGCCCAATAAAGATGTCACTTTCATCCCTAATCGATGTATAAATTCAGTGAAACTAACCAAAATCCCAAAGGGACTTCTATATGAATTTGATAAGCCAATCCTAAAGTTCACTTGGTATTTAAATTTAACAATGGCAGTTTGAAAAAAAAAAAATGATAAAAAGAGACATATCCTCCCTGCTATCTTTTTTTGAAAAAACTTCTGTAAGTAAAACTTTCTGGCTGAGTGTGGTGGCTCATGTCTGTTATCCCAGCACTTTGGGAGGCTGAGGCAGGAGGATTGCTTGAGTCCAGGAGTTCAAAGCCAGCTTAGGCAACATAGTGAGACTTGATCTTTAGAAAAAAATTAAAAAACTAGCTGGGTGTAGTGGTACACACCTATAGTCCCAGCTACTCAGGAGGCTAAGGTAGAAGGATCGTCTGAGCCCAGGAGTTCAAGGCTGCAGTGAGTCATGATCGTGCCATTGTGTTCCAGTTTGGGCAACAGTGAGACACCCAACTCCAAAAAAATAAATAAATAAAACCTGCCGACTTTGCAATAGTTGGCAAAAGGGCAGACAAATAGGTAAGATTAGAAAATCCAGAAACAAGTCTACATGTAAGATAATTTAGTATTTGATAAAATGGCATTTTATATCAGTAGGGGAAAATGTTCAATAAATGGTAATAGGATTTTCCAGACTTTTAGTCTGGAAAAAAATATATAAAGCCCTACCTTACATCATTCCCCAAAACAACTTCTAGATAGATAAACAACTAAAGGTAAAAACAAACAAAAAAAGAACACTAGAAGAAAATAATGGATTTTAAAAAAATAATTTGAGGAAATGGGTAAAACAGTGGGATCTTTCTTACCATCCAAGAAATAAAAAGTGTGAGAACTTAAAACAGTATTTTTGATGTCTCTTTTTAAAAACTGATGTGGGTATTTGTAGTGGTAGGCTGACTAGTGTTCTCCACCAAAGTTGTTCATGTCCTAATCCCTATAACCTGTACATATGTTGTCCTAAAATCGTAGAAAGGGACTTTGCAGATTTGATTAAGTTATAAAGATCATGCAATGGGGAGACTATCCTGAATTATCTGGGTGGGCCCAGTGTAATCACAAGGGCTCTCAACAAGAGGGAAGTGGGGAGGATCAGAGGTAGAATATGTAAGGACTAAAAGCAGAGGTCAGGAGAAAAGATGCTACTGCTGACTTTGAAGGTAACTGGTACTCATGAGTTCACTTGTGCAGCTAACCTTTAAAAGCCGGAAAAGGCAGGGAAACAGGTTCTATAGAGCCTCCAGATGGAGCAAAGGCCTGCACACACCTTGCTGTTAGCCCAGTGAAACTGATTTCTGACTACTGACTTTCAGAATTGTAAGACAGATTCCTGCTTTAAGCTACCAAGTTTGTGGTGTCTATTACAGCAGCCATAGAAACGAATATACTTACCATAGTTTAAAGAGGAATTGGAAGAGATTTTGCCCCCCTTCTTTTGGAGGAGGAAGTCTGGAGTTTAAACTCCAGAGAAAATATTTACCTTTCCTTATGTAGACATCTTTATTCTTTTATTTTCTTTCTTTCTTTTTTTTTGAGACAGGGTCTCACTTTGCCACCCAGGCTGGAGTGCAGTGGCACCGTCTTGGCTCTCTGCACCCTTGACCTGTGCTCAAGTAGTCTTCCTGTGTCAGTCTCCTGAGTAGCTGGGATTATTTTAATTTTTTTGTAGAGGCGAGATTTTGCTATGTTGCCCAGGCTAGTCATGAACTCTTGGCCTCAAATAATCCTCCTTCCTCAGCCTCCCAAAGTGCTGGGATTACAGGCCTGAGCCTCCATGCCTGGCGATCTCTTTATTCTTAATTCAAGGAGTGTTTAGAATGTGAAGGGATCTCAGGATGGCAGGTATACAAAGCAACTCAGGAGGTAAAGGATTTCTAAAGTGTCAATTTTACTCAGATTTTCTTTTTTTGCATAATCACTTTTAAATGAGCATGGATGTATTAAAGAAAATAATGTACATTTCTTAGAAATTTAAAAAGTAAACTGAAAATTAACTCTGGTAGGCTTTTTTGGGGGATCAGTGTTCATGTTCCTTACTTAAGTGTAAAATTATAAGCACAGAGTGCATTAGTTATTTGTGACCTTCTAACAGATTATCCTAAGACTTACTTGTTTAAAGCAACAAACATTTATTGCCTCAAAGTTTTTGTAGGTTTGGAATCTGGGAGTGGTTAGCTAGGTACCTCTGGTTCAGGATCTCTAACTGTGCTATGTTCAAAGTGTTGGCTAGGGCTGTTCTCTGGTCTGAAGGCTTGATATGGGGTAGGATCCGCTTCTAAGAGTTCTCATAAGGTTGTTAAAAGTCTCAGTTCCTCGTGACCTGTGTAGAATTGAGAGCTTTCAGTTCTTTGCTGACTGGAGACTGCCCTCATTTCTTTGCTATTTGGCTTGTTTCCATTCAAAAGATAGCTGATTTCTTTCATAGTGAGAAAGAAAGCACACAAGCCCAAGTCGAAGACAGAAGTTGATTTTTGTTTTGTTTTGTTTTGTTTTGAGTTGGGGGTCTCCCTCTGTTGCCCAGACTGGAGTGCAGTGGCACAATCATGGCTCACAACTTCAAACTTATAGTCTCAAGCAGTCATTCCGCTTCAGCCTCCTGAGTAGCTGGGACTACAGGAATGCACCACCACACCCAGTTAATTTTTTTTTCTTTTGGTAGAGGTGAGATCTTTGTTGCCCAGGCTGGTCTCTAACTTCTGGACTCAACCAATCCTTTTGCTTTAGTCTCCCAAAATGCTGAGATTACGTGTGAGCCATTGCACCCAGCCTAAAAGATAATTATTTTGAAGAAAAAAAAAAAATACAAATCAAGTGGCCACCGAGCCCAGATCTGATTTTTTAAAATTGGATTTTGACTTATTCAAAGTTTTAAATATTTTGACATGCTGGAAACTCATTTTAGTGCCTAACTTAACTTGAGAGAATTCTGATATAATCTGGCTGTAAGAATTTAGAAAATAGTAATGTTCTTAAATAATTGGTTTTTGCTTCATTTGCTTGGCATGACATCAGATATCCCTAGATTCATATAGGTATTTTTAAAAATCCCTAAAAATAAAGTTTCATAGTTTGAGATAATTCAGGGAATTTGAAAAAGATAGATGAACAGTCTGTCTGAGAGGAAAAAGTCTTTCCTAGCGAAACTTACTTCCTGTAGTTATTTACATACCTAAGAAGATGTAGTAAAGATTTGTTCATGTTTGATGTTAACCTTGTTTAATGATGTAAGTTGGTTTACTCCTACCTTTTTAAAAATTTGACACAATTTAAGCCATTTTTTTTGAGATACAGAAACCACTATACTCCTGAAGTATGGTGTTGTTAACATTAATTAAAAATCACCTGCTAGTAAAGTAATAAAATGAGAGGAAAAGGAGGTGTAAGATATCTAGGAAAGGTGACATCTGGAGTTTTGGTACTGTTGAATATAATTAGGTATCATGTGGTTGATTATGATCAAAATCTCCTTTTGGATTACTGAACTTTGGTTTAGAATGCTAATGTGACATTTTCATATTCTAGGTTATCTGTATAAGCAATAAGATGCCAAATATGTTAAATAGATATAGTTTAGAAAAATCACAGCTGCTTAAAAAAAGGAATCCAATTCCAGTCCTCCAAAGAAAGCAATCACACAACCCAGTCATTAACTTTCATTTAGTTTGTTTGAAGTAGTTTGAACTATAATTCTGTACATGGAAGTACGTGCTTAAGATTGCTTTATTTTGATACATACTATTTTTATTATAAAATACACTGTTGGCCCTCCATATCTGGGGGTTCTGCATCAGGGAATTCACCAATCATGGTTTGAAAATACTTGGGAAAAAAAATTGCATCTGTGTTGAACATGTGCAGACTTTTATCATTATCCCTAAACAGTACAGTGTAATAACAGTTTACATAGCATTTGGGTTGTATTAGGCATTATAACTAATCTAGAGAGTAAACATTTAAAGCCTGTGTGGGAGTATGTGCATAGTTTATATGCAAACAGCCATTTTATAGCAGGGACTTGAGCATTTGTATATTTTGGTATCCAAGGGTGATCCCGAAACCAATCCTTCATGAATACCAGAGGATGACTGTATATAACTTTATTATAAGCTGAGGGAAGGAGAGAGGTTTGTCATATTTTTATTGTTTTTTGAGTCATGGTCTCACTCTGTCACCTAGGCTGGAGTGCAGTGGCATGATCACTCCTCTCTGCAGCCTCAAACTCCTGGGCTCAAGCAGTCCTCCAGCTTCAGCCTCCTGAGTAGCTGGGGCTACAGGCATGCCCCACCATTCCTGGCTAATTTTTTTTTTTTTGTAGAGTTAAGGTCTTGCTATGTTGTCCAGGCTGGTCTCGAATTCCTGGGCTCAAGCAATCTTCCCACCTGGACCTCCCAAAGTGCTGGGATTACAGGTGTGAGTGATTGCTCCTGGCCCATGCTTGTCATCTTAATAATTGAAATCATTCTTGCTACTTTTTGTTAGGAAATAAGTGTTCTTGAGTCCTTCCAGGCCACTGTTCTTTTACTCTCCATCCCTCTACCAACTTCCACTCCTATCCCTCCAAAATTTTAGAATGATATCCAGTTGTCTGATGATTGAGGGAAAGGAAAGAAACGGGAAAATACTTTTATTGATTGTTTTGGAATCCAAATTATTGTCTTGCTGCCTTTTCTTTATCTCAGCACACTCCTGATATCTTTTATGAGTCATTGGTTATGGGAATTCTCTGACCCCCCCCAACACGTGTTAATCTCTTTTTGCTTGGCAATTTAAGGTGGGATCATTTAAAAACCTTGATTATCATTGGCCTCAACTGAGAATTTATCTTTCAGTTAGTACCTAAAAATGAATTTCACTTAGTGATTTAATGTCTTTAAAATTTGATTATCCTTTGGAGGGTTACAAGTTGTTTCATAACTTTAAGCTTCCAACTATTTCTGACTCTCATTTGATTACATATGTTTTGTTCTTTATGCATTTATTAAAGCTGTCTTGGGTCGAATTTATTTTTTTTCCCAGATGAATTGCTTGTTTAGGCTTACTTGCTTCTTAGGTTACCTGCTGAGCTAGATTGAGGCAGTTTTAGACACCAAATACAAATTTTCTAAAGTTAAAACATGGAAAATAGTTGACATAAATTTGGGATTGCGTGAAGAGTGTTTTTAAAAGTTGCAGTACAAATGCTGCTTTAAAAAGTTATTGGTATTGGCTTTAATTATCTAGATTTAAGTGTGAAGTGATATTTGAAATCTTTTTAAGATTGTTCAGTTTTTGTGCTATTCTGTTTGCAATATACTTACTGGTGAGTATCAGAAATTAGTTTAATAACTTTTCCTATATGGTTTATTTCTGATGGTTATAGATTTTATAAATGGAACCTTTATGATTTCTTTTATTAACAGAATTCTGCTTGGTCAGAGTCGTGATGGCATTGTGTTCAGCACTGATGACTATTTTCACCATCAAGATGGGTACAGGTATAATGTTAATCAACTTGGTGATGCCCATGACTGGAACCAGAACAGAGGTTTGTTTTGGGCCAAGTCTCCTGGGATAGAATATTTGACTAGGAGTCAGAAGACCTAGTTGGTATTCTTGACTTAGATTTTTACCAACTTTATAACTTTGGCAAGCCATTTAAATTGTCTTTAAGACCCAATTTCTTTATCTGTTAGAAGTAGTGGTGATAATTATATTTGCTATACCTGATCAGGGTTGTGGTGAAAAGCGAATAATTTAGATAAAACATTTTGAAAACTAGTGTACCAGTATAAGTTGTTAATAAAGATATAGAATATTTTGATAGACTTTATTTTATACCTCATGAGTATATTCAGAAAACCCTGATACTGTTGTTATGTATTCCCAAAGTTATTTCCCTGAGAATAATACTAATATTTTCCAGGGTGGAAAATAGAGAATATTCAAGGTTTTTCTCATTGATATTGCTCTATAAGAAATCTACTTTATACATTTTTTAGAGGGCTTGCATCAGTTTCTGTTTATCATTAATGGGGTGCTTAACTTGAGTTGACATTTGAATTACTTGGGGAACTTAAAAAAAAAACCAAAAACCTGGGTCTCAGCCCCAGAGATCTGGAGTAGGGCCCAAGCATTGGTATTTTTTAATTTAAGTTCTCCAGATGATTCTAATGTACGGTCAGAATTGAAAATGATTGATCTAGAACTGTGTAAGTAAATGCATACACTATATTATTTTTCTAAACAGATAGGTTTTATTATGAAAAATCTTAAACCTAGATTAGACATAGATCCATCAGCCAGAATTTGTATACATTATAAAGATTTTGATTAAGGATAAAAGGCTTTATCCTTTTGTCTTTGTCTCCTCTCCTTTCTTAATTTGCAGACGTTTTTTAAAGTAGATTCTAGCTATATATATTTATACATTTCAAATATACTTAATCACATCCTAATTAACCACAATGCCATTATCACACATTAAAAAGAGATACCTTCCTTGGCGTCCTCTAACAAAGTCAGTTTTGTTTGAATCAGGATCCAGGCAAGGTCTTCAAAATACATTTTGTTTTATGTTTCTTTTAATTATATTAAACTATAGCATTTTCCCTCTTTTAACCTCATACATTAAACTTGTTGCAAAAACTAGGTTGTTTGTTTTATAGAATGTTCCATATCCTGTAGTTGTGGTAACCATTTAACTTGATCTTTTGACTCCTTTAGTTTTCATGAGTGGAAATTATCTCTAGCTGAGGCTTGATTAGGTTCAGCTTTTTTTGGGGGGGGGAGGCAGGCAAATACTTGGTTGTCCTACTCTCTTTTTGTTTTTGAGTTGGAGTCTCACTCCGTTGTCCAGTTTGGAGTGCAGTGGCACACTCACAGCCACCCCACTGTCAACCTGCTGGCTCTGGCGATCCTTCCGCCTCAGTCTTCCAAGTAACCAGAACTGTAGGCGTGTGTTACCACACCTGGCTAATTTTTTGATTTATTATAGAGATGAGGTCTTGCCAAGTTGCCCGGGCTGCTCTCAAATCGTGGGCTCAGGCATTCTTCTCACCTTGGCCTCCCAAAGTGCTGGGATTACAGGCTTGAGCCACCACGCCCAGCCTGGTTGTCCTACTCTTAGTGATGATAGACTTCAGTAACTTCAGAGGGTCAGCCAACCCTCTGTAATGTCAAATTCCCAGTTAACCTGGTTTTATCCAACAATGAATTGTTTCCTGATTCAGTTATTTCATTGAGTTGCAAAATGGTAATTTTTAGGCCTGCTGTTTTTTCCATCTTTAGTAACTAGAATTCTTCTGTAATGAACTTCCTCTTGCTAACTAGGATTCCTCTAAACTATAGTATATATAAGAAAAACAGGCCAGGTGCAGTGGCTCACGCCTGTAATCCCAGCACTTTGAGACCAGGGTGAGAGAATTGCCTGAGCCCATGGGTTCGAGACTAGTCTGGGCAACTTGGTGAGACTTCATCTCTACAATAAAATCAAAAAATTAGCCAGATGTTTTGGCGCATGCCTGTAATTCCAGCTATTTGGAAGACTGAGACAGAAAGATCACCTGAGCCCAGCATATCGAGGCTGTGGTGACTGTGAGTGTGCCACTGCACTCTAGTCTCGGTGACAGAGTAAGACTCCAACTCAAGGGGCGGGGAGGGGAAGAAAACAAAAACCAGTATAAATGCTTTTATTTTAATTGTCACTTAAAGAATTTCAGTGAGGATGTTTTTGAGTAAAAGGGTTTCACTTTTTGGTTATATGACATTCTAGGATTTCTCCAAATATATTAGAGGGTGGCATAAAAATCTAAAGAAATATTAATTTTTTTAAATGCCATAGAACATTCTTGTGGAAATCAAATAGTGATGGAATTGTAATTCCAAAAGTGTTTGCAGTTATTACCCGTAGGAGAACAAGATTAGGTGATAAATGAAATGAATAAAGACAGTGACAGAGCCCGTATACCTTTGGTGAACTAGGAAGTTTGTGTGGGATGTCTTTTTTTTCTTTGCAATATTAGTGTAGAATATTTCATTAAAACATGCCATTTGAATTATGTGAATTATACGAGCTGAATGGAATTATGTCTGGATAAACCATTGGTTTTCTTATCAGTGTAATAAATACAGACGTGAATACCTTTAAATGTCAAGTACCATTCTGAGAAAAATCTGTCTGCCTTATGTTCATGATATGAAGAATCTAAATTAATTTTAGAAAAGTTATAAATTGAAAGCATCTCTAAGGTGTCATTCTTTTCTTTCTTAGGGTATGGTTGTTAATTTGTTTATGCAAACTACTTTCATTTTTTGAATATTCAAACATGGTTTACTTAGACTCTCTGTTCTCATGGGTTGCACTGGACTGTGGTAATAGATGATGCTTATTCATGGAAAGAGGATGATCTCCCACTTCTACAAATCAAAGATTTACTTGGTTAATAAGCTCCTTTTCTAGAACATGATTCCTTGGGCATTAGGAGAATTTTTTTTATTTGAGTTGGAGTGTCACTGTCGCCCAGGCTGGAGCGTAGTGGCACGCTCATAGTCACCACAGCCTCTACCTGCTGGGCTCAGGTGATCCTTCCTCCTCAGCCTTCCAAGTAGCGAGGAACTACAGGCATGCACCGCCACACCTAGCTAATTTTTTGATTTATTATAGATAGGAGGTCTCACCAAGTTGCCCAGGCTGGTCTCGAACCTATGGGCTCAGGCAATCCTCTCACCTTAGCCTCCCAAAGTGCTAGGGTTATAAGCGTGAGCCACTGGGACTGACCAAAAATTATTTTAATAAGGTTTTTTTAAAACGGAAGATTTGATCTCTATGCTTGGAGATGGATCTGTGGGAAATGATATGATAGTCCCTACTTATGACCTAAATTCTAAATTTATTTTGATATATAGAGACATCTCCCAAGTATATATTCCACCATAGTCATTGTTCTTACTGACCTTTAGAATTCTGTCTGTCCTAGGCATCTGTAGAAATGTTTATATTCTGTTGAACTTAGTGGTTTGAATTCTCTCTTGAGAAAACTTCCATATGTTTGCATTTTGCTTCAGCCTTTTACATTTTATCAAGGATTCATAATTATTTTTCTTGTTTGGTATACCTAAGAGGTATACACACTCCTGTCATTAGCCATGGCTTGCTGTGACTGTGATTCTCATCTCATGCTTTAAAAAAAAAAAATGGCAGTGGGACAGGGAAATAATAGTTAAGAAAAGTTTCATTCCTCAGCTCCCAATTTGAGGGCCATAGTCTAAGAAATACCACAAAGTCAGTTGAACTGTGACATTTAGCTACTGTTGCATAAAGTTTTCCTGGTAAGTGATGATGAATTTGTAACTTTTAAACGATATTAACCTTTCTTATTTTAAAAGCATTATTTGTACAAGTATTCTGTCACTTATAGTTGACCACTTTTAGTATCTTTGTAAATCTTCCCAGCTCTATATTTTTACCTAATTAAGATCATATTTAACTATTGTCTTGTAAGTTGCTGTTTTCATTTGACAATCTTAATTTTTCTGTCAAAATATATTTTCACCTCTTCATAGTCAGTCCCTATTCAGATGTAACTTGTTTCTTTTATCTCCTGTATTTCCCATATGTGAAAGTTCTAGACTTTCACTAGGCTCCATTAGCTGTAAGTTCAACAAAATGTTCCCAAATGTCATTTGCAGCCAGTCTGTCAAAACCGGCATCCATTCTGGATAATACACCTGGCATGTGGCTATATCTCTTAATTGGCTTTTATTCTAATGGAGTTCTTTCTTTCCTGGCACTGACTCAAGAGATTGAACAGTTTTGGTTAAATACAGGGATATAATACATTTCTTAATAATGAATATTTAGTTTTATTTGTGTATTTTAACCTAATAATTTTGTTTTTTTTATTTCAGCAAAACAAGCTATTGATCAGGGGAGATCTCCAGTTATAATAGACAACACTAATACACAAGCTTGGGAAATGAAACCATATGTGGAAATGGTAAATATGAAGTATAAGAGTTTTTATTTTTGTTGTCAATTTTTTCATATTCTGAAATTTTGGTTACTTTGATCTTGATTATTAAAACATTTGTCCTTATTTTCTAAAGAGGTATATAGTTTTCTTATTTTTAAAAAAACTGTTCCTTATTAAGAATGTTCCATATTAAGATATATATTCATTTTGTTAGTTTTGCTTGACCTTGGAATTTGTCCAGTTAAGTAGTCTTAAAATTGTTGTAAACTATATTATAAGGCAATATTTTTTCATGATTGAGCAAATTTAGAAGTATTGTCTAAGTAAAATTTTATCTGTCTGCCTTCTTTTTACTTTAAGAAGTATTTTCTGGGTTTTTGTTTTCTTCCTTTCCTTTGTGTAGGCCATAGGAAAAGGATACAGAGTAGAGTTTCATGAGCCTGAAACTTGGTGGAAATTTGATCCTGAAGAATTAGAAAAGTAAGGCATTAACATTTTTATTGAATCCTTTTTTTCTTTGTGAATTTCTACATCATGTCATAGTTTATTGAAAGGTCTAAGAAACTTTGAGGGTAAAATTAGGACTTTCCCTCTGGTTTTTGGCTAGACCACGTCTCTGCAGTCCTTCCACCTTCATCTTCTTCCCGTTTTAGGCCCCATCACCTTTTTCCCTTGTGCTTTTGTGTTACTCCCTCATTCCTATTTTCACAACTGCAAGTCCATAATCCCATGCCAGGATCCTTGGAGTTAGTGTGTTTTGGAATTCAGGGGGTTTTTGTTTGTTTTGTTTTAGAAAGGTAATATAGTGCTTATGTGTTTAATTGTAACACCTCTCTCAGTTTGGGGTAGCAAATCAAAATGAAATGTCTTCATATTTCCGCAGCAAATCATGACTAATCAGTCTAAGAAAATAAGAAAGTATCGATGTAGTCTAATATCAATTCTGAGTAGGTTGTGCTGCCCAGTGAGTACAGATCTGATTAGATTTGACTGCCATGAGTCAACAGAAAACAGATTTCAGCACTTAATGGGTTTCAGGACTTGTGGGCAGAGTTTGTGGACTTGTATTACTTTCAGCTCTGCTCTTCCACTTGTATTGAGCTTTATCCTTTCCCCCGACTAGGACTCTTTTTTCTTTCTTCACTTTCATTTCCCCTCTTTTTGGGGTAACAACTTCATTGTGATGTAATTCACATACCTTACAATTTACCCATTTAAAGTATACCTTTCTGTGGTTTTCAGTATATTCACAAGTTGTGCGACCACCATCCCCCTTTTTTAAAGCCAGCTTTTTTCTCCCCCAACTCAGCTTGCTATCTTCCAGCTTTAAACTGTCATTGAATATAAAGTCCAACTAAATTCTTTTTCCCTTGTTCTTTAGTCCTTTGGCTACTTTCCTTTTCTTTCTGATTTGCATGTCATATGTTCAAATATAGGTAGATAAACTGATAGATTTGTTAGATTTGATCTCTAGTATTGTTTTCCTGCCTGGCTGTGTATATCATACCTGAGGTGAAAGAGACATAAGTTTAAAAACTAAAGGTGTTTGAGTAATACCGAATAAATGAATGATAAAATTGCTATTTAGTTATGGCTTCATGGACTGTTAAAATTTATTTTCATAATATAAGTTGAATTTACATAAAGCTGGTTTAACTGATAATCTGGCATAGCTTGATATTTGAAAATAATTAATCATAAATTTTGGTTGCTTGTTGATTTAGTCATATCTTGCCAATTTTCTTTTTTTTTTTTTTCTCTTGAGTTGGAGTCTTACTCTGTCATCCAGCTGGAGTGCAGTGGTTTGTTCATGGCCACTGCAGCCTCAACCTGCTGGGCTCAGGCCATCCTTCCACCTCAGCCTTCCAGGTAGCTGTAACTACAGTTGCGTGCCACCACGCCCAGCTAATTTTTTGATTTATTGTAAAGATGAGGTCTCACTAAGTTGCCCAGGCTGGTCTTGAACCCCTAGGCTCAGGCATTCCTCTCACCTCTGCCTCCCAAAATGCTGGATTTACAGATTATGAGCCACTGTGCCTGGCATCTTGCCAGTTTCCAATCTCAGATTTCCTTTTTTCTGTCTTTTTTTGCTTTAAACATAAACATTGGATTTGAAAAGTGAACATTTCTTTTGTGGACTTTTTCTGGGAAAGATGAATTGGCATTAGTAGATATAGAACTGTAATATTAAATGTAAAGTATGCTTCTGTGTGTTATGTCAGTCCAGATCAAGTTGCAGAAAACTGTGAGGGTAATAAATTGTCAAAAGTTGTCTGAGAGTCAAGAAGGAATTTTAAACTACTTTTTGTTGTCATATAAACTCACATACAGAAAAGTACATCAAATATAAATACACAGCTCAACAAAGTTCTTACAAAACCATTACACATTTAGCCGCTACCACATCATGGGAGCATTACCAGCATGTCAGAAGCTCGTTGCGTTCCTGTTGCCAATCAAAATTATCTTTCTCTATATGTAACCACTATTTTGTCCTGGTAGACTACCATAAGCACTTTATTACTTTCTTTAAAGTTTTACCATAACATCTTTTGCCTGAATAAATGTTGCCTTTTTCATTGTGTCTAGTTTCTTTCATTCAGTATTATGTTTGTGAGAAATGTCCAAATTATTGTCTCTAATAATTTGGTATTGACAATAAACTTTTAAAATGTGACAGGCACTGTCAGAAAATAACTTTCAAAAAGGGATAAATATTGTACTTTGACTTTTGTAAGCCCTAGAAGTTCACTCACTTCTATAATTCTTAAAACAGAATCTTATAATCTTTGATTTTGTCATTAAAAGAGGCAGAAGAGCCAGCAGTTTCGGTGAATAGGTAGCTCTCTGAAAAAGTATCTTTAAACTTTTTCAAAAATCTTTGAGATAGCCAATAGAAATCTTTTTTATATAAAATGTGGGCAAGTGGAATATATCTTCTAATGTTTATTTGCAAAATATAATTTAGAGTCTGTATACTGTTCTCTAAAACAGTTTAATCTTTAAGCTTATATTCATTGTACAACAAAGATTTACAATCATTTTCTTTTTCGATAGGAGGAATAAGCATGGTGTTTCTCGAAAGAAGATTGCTCAGATGTTGGATCGTTATGAATATCAAATGTCCATCTCTATTGTAATGAATTCAGTGGAACCGTCGCACAAAAGCACACAGAGACCTCCTCTTCCACAAGGGAGACCGAGGTGGGGAGGCTCTCTAGGCTCACATAATGAAGTCTGTGTCTCAAATAATCATTGAGTTGGCCATTTGTGTGCCCTTGAAAAAAATTAGTGAGCCTGTCTCAAAGCTTAAATAGTTTCAAATTAAAAAAGACTATGTTGCATCACAAAGAATGTTCCCAGCAAGTTGTTTAAATTCTAAAGTGTAAATAAAATTATATAAAGTGTATTTTAAATGCTTTTATAATCTTGTAATACTCTTGGTTGTTATGGAAACACCTGAGTAGTAGAATGGGCAGGAACTAGGATTTTTTTTATAATTGAATTTTAAACTAATTTTATCTATATTGTAGATAATGTTGAAATTCTTTTATAGTTCATATCTAATTCTAACTTTTCATAAAACTTTTGTATTTTTTCTTCACTACCTTAAATATGCAAGAAAACTAACTTGTTATAGGGCACTTTAGTGGATTCCCCTATTCATTATGCAAGTAAAATTGTATTTCAGCTAATTAATCTGTATGACAGTTATTTCTAAGCTACACTCAACATATCATTTTATACCAACCACAATTCCCCAGCAAATACTAGACAATAAGTATATCTATCATAGTATATGTATTCATTTTATGACACCTACTCATCATGCTTCTCAAGCCATCTCCCTATTTCCATGTGCTCACTAGTTCTCGAAGAGATCAAGAGGCAAGTCACTGTGTAGTTAGGAAAAGCTCCTCAGCTGATTCTAATAATATTTCACTTCTCTCTGGTTTAATGCAGTTTAATTCTAATAGAAAAGTATTTTGGACAGTTACGTAGCATAAGAAGATTTGTCCTACAGAATATTTCTTCTAGTACTGATTTTTCTGTAGAGTGAACTGTATTTCTGTCACAGGATAGTTTTTGTTATTAGATTGTGGTTCTTCTCTTAAATTTAAAAACTGAGATGGAATTCATTTCAGAAGTCTTGTAGTTATCTCTCCCCTTCAAATAGCTTGAACTAGATTATCCTAGGTAATTGAGCATTTATCTTTGCAACATGAGGAAGGAAATACTATGATCTCTTTTAACACCTTTGTTCCCAGTGTTTACAGAAAACAGTGTTTAATCTTTTATTACTCTTGTTTAGGAAAAAACCCAGCTAATTATAATACTACTTTAAAAAATAAATTATAATGATTCTTTATATTTTACATAGTATTCATGGCCTTTAAACTTTCTCCTAAAGCAGCCCATCCTGAACCCCACAGTCTCTTTGTTGTTTTAAAGCGTTTTTCTGTTCTTTTCTACTTTAAATATTCCCTCACCTCTTTATATTACTTTTTAAGTTATAAGGCTTAATTAAAACTAGATTCGGTACTGTCAATAGGGTTTTGTTACATTGCCTTTAATGAAATAAGAATATGGTTTCTATTTAATTGTATTATTTAGTGCTGTTTGCATTTAAATGGGTATTACCTTGCTTTATCTTGTGTAATATATGTGTATGTTTGTATATGTTTGCTTATCTTAACTAAGTGATACAGTGGGACTAAGCTAACTCATGTTTTGTGTGTAAATGTATATATATTTATATATACATACACATATCTTCTTCATGTTTTCATATATTCTTTTATTTTAGAGTAATATTAGTTGGTATTTGGTCTAGTCTTTCCAAGTATTTTACTAAGTAAATTTATACAGTTGTGTGAAATTTGGAAGTTGTGTGAAAGGATTTAATTTGGGGATAGATGAGATAGCTCTTAGGTATACTGTGTGTCTCTTTCTCCGTATCTTTGGATAAATTTCATTTAGGAGTAAGAATGCTGTAAATCTAGTTTTTTTTAAAATAACAATTAACCACATTTATTTTGAAGAAGTAGAGGATTACCTTTGGGAGAAACAGATTATGAGGAAACATGTTCTTATTAAGTCTAGAATAGATTTCCAGAATGTATTATAGATTCAGCTTCATCTCCTAGTACTTCTGAGTACTGAATAATAATTATTCAGAGTTTACTAATCTTTACCAATTAATTTTTAAAATTATAAATGCTTATTGAGGCAAGGGAACTAACATTTTTTTTTTTTAGGCAGAGAAATAATGTGATAGTTTCTCGAAATATTATGGTTAATTTCAATTTTTTACAGTAACAAAATGGAAGAATGAATGTGCGGTGAAAGTTACTAAAATCACTATTTTAAGTCATTGTTTGGTGTTAAAAATATGTAGAAATGTGAAAATGCCAATGACTTTTTCATCAACATTTTTTCTTGTATTCAAACACAGTCTGTTTTTGATGGCATGATAACTTCACTGTGTTGCACAGGCTTGCCTTGAACTCCCGGCTCAAGAGCTCCTCCTGCCTCAGCCTTCCAAGTAGCTTGGATTACAGGCAGGTGCAAAACTCCTGGGCAGAAATAGTCTTAGTAGAGGAGACCCCCGCTGCTACAGTTCGTTGTTACCTGATCTTCAGGGCATTACTCATCATGTTTAACTAAGATGGAATACATCTTAGTGAAGTAGAATACGACTTCTAGTGTGGTTCGGTAAGATTAAGTTACATTTTTTAATAGGCTTAGTGTAAAAATTACTATTCCTTTTTGATAAATCTGTACTTCTGTGTGACATACTGTTCATAAAAATTTTTGTGTGGTAATTGAACTTTTGGCACTGCTTTTTAAATAGCTTATCTTTATTTTCAATATTCATCTTTCTAAAATAAAATGTTATCTTTTTAATATTTTTGTCTTTTAAAATAAGATTATTAAAGATTTCAGTTTTTTTGCTGTTGGAGTGATAGGGTTGATTTAAATATTTGAAGTTTGCTTATCTCGTCTATTTAATATAGAGTCTGAGAGTTTCCAATTTTACATATAGATAAGTTTTGAAAGCTCAACTTCAAAGGATATGAAACATTTGTTTTGATTATATAATTTTTTTACTATAGAAATGTCTGATTTTGAGACTGGTTTTCTAAGTAATTATAAAGAACATTGGTGGTGTTTTCTTTGGAAAATGTTGAAGAAATGTAGTTTTTAATGTATTTTAGTGCCTTGACTGGATAGGTTTGCCTGTCTTTATTGAAGTTTAATGTAGTATTTGGACATGAATGCAGGAGTTAATAAGGGCTAAAGTTGTATTGTTGCCTTTTTTTTTTTTAACTTCTGCAAGGCACATTGAGTAATGCCTAGTTTAGAATTATAAAGTATTAGCTTAGTTTTGGTACAGTGAGTATTCAGAATAAATAATTTGGTGGTGGCAGAAGGAGTAGGTTGAGTTAGTGTTTTTAGAGTTAAGTTTTAGGAACTACAATTTATAAGTAAAAATTTTTTTCCATTAAAATTGTTAGCTGTATCATTGTAAATTTACTGAGTAGGAGAGATTATATTAAGGGATTAATGACTATCCTGTTTGGTAATATTTTTCTTTCTCTTTACAAATTAAATAAGATTTTTATTTTATCTTTTAAATTAGAGTATCATTAAAATAATTGGCTTCCCTGTATGTTGTATAAAAGTTTCTTCTGATGCTGTTCTTAGGATGGTAAGAAGTAGTATTTTGTTGAAATAGATCCTGAATGTGGCGAGCTTAGTGATTGTCTTGTGTCTTTTTTATTCCTTTTTTACTTTGCAAGCAATATTTAGATCGATTAAATTTAGTTCATTCAAACTGCCAAAAAGTTAAGCCTAAGAAATCTTCACTTTTATATGGTTTATAAGTTTCACAACAAACCTTGAAAAGTTTATAAGTATGATTATTTGCAGCTAAGTCTAGAAAACTTGTCAAAGAGTGGTTACACTTTGATCGAGCTCAGTGTCTCAGCCTGTAATCTCAGCACTTTGGGAGGCTGAGGCGAGTGAATTGCCTGAGCCTGCGGGTTCAAGACCAGCCTGGGCAACTTGGTGAGACCTCATCTCTACAATGAATCAAAAATTAGCTGGCGTGGTAGTGTGTGCCCGTAGTTCCGGCTACTTGGAAGGCTGAGGCAGAAGGATTGCTGGAGTCCAGCAGGTTGACTCTGGGGTGGCCATTAGTGTGCCATGACACTCCAGCCTGAGTGGCAGAGAGAGAATCCAACTCAAAAAAAGAATGGTTACATTTTATACTCAGTTATTTAGATTACACTGAATAACATGATTTTGTTATAGAGTAAATGTGTGCAAGCAGTAATTCTGAATATGTCCTATGAAAATTCTTAATACATTGCCAGTGTCTAATTACTCACAGGGACAAGAGGAAGGAGTAGCACAAGTAATTCTTTGAAAAGTGAATGTCAGCAATAAACAGGGAGTTGTTCTCTGAATTCTAGAAGCTAAGCTGTGTGTGTTGGAAAGTTTTGACTTTTTATACATTTTTTATTTTTGAGTTGGAATCTCTGTCGCCCAGGCTAGAGTATAGTGGCATGCTCACGGCCACTGCATCCTGGACCTGCTGGGCTGAGGTGATCCTTCCACCTCAGCCTTTCAAGTAGCTGGAACTATAGGTGCATGCCACCACACCCAGCTTGTTTTTGGTTTATTGTAGAGATGAGGTCTTACCAAGTTGCCCACACTGGTCTTGAACCCCTGAACTCAGGCAATCCTATCGCCTCAGCCTCCTAAAGTGCTGGGATTACAGTCTTGAGCCACTGTGTCCAGCTGACTTTTTATACATTTAATAGAAGGTTATTTGAGTCATTCATATTAGAAATAATCTCTTTTTCTTTCTTCCTGACAAATTTTGCTCTCCGAAAGATAACACACATTACAGGTGTGATAATTGTAATAATAATTACATATGGTAATACACTTTCCAATACAGAATCTGTTAACTTCAATAAGTTATCTTAAATTTTATCATGAAAAAATAGGTTATTTTATGTAGCATGAACACAATTATATGATCCCTAATCTCAGAATTAGACACAGTTAATTAGCAAGCATTATACCTGCTTTGGTGAGTAACTGAAAACTTCATGTGGGAGTGTTGGTTCGGTTGTTAATACTTCCATTTTTTTAAACTTAATTGCTTTTTGTAAACTGTTGGAAAGATTGAAAGATTTTGAGAGGAACTGTTGGGCTGTTTTCCTCTGAACTTTGTTAGTAACTGAGGATAGAAAGGACTGTGTTTCTTCATGATTAAAATTGTGTTCAAGTTTAGGGAGGTCCTTTGAAGTATTATTTGGATTATTTTCGTGTTTTCCAGTTTTAACTGTGTTTTCAGATGGTACATATAAAACTAAAGTTTACCCTTAGGGTTAATCTACAA